TCTAGATGGTCATGACATTTGTTATCTCCAGAGGATGAATGCAATTTTCTCTTCAAGTCGCCTGAATTTTCTTGCAACACTCGAGGTAATAGATTGTACTCTCTGTGGCAAATATTTATACAACCAATCGTGTAAAGTATGGATTGGTGTTGTATTTTCCAGAACAGCAATTTTGTCTTGGAAACAACCTCAAACAATCTGGATACATGCATGTTTCAGACTTTAAAACATCAGTGCGTTGGACCAGAGGGAAACGGGATAATTGTGTTCATAGCTCTCCTAAAAAAACGAATTAGGTTAAGCAAGAGATCCTGTAATAAAGTGAGAAGAGGAGCCTTAAATTCTGCTGCTGTTTCATGGTTGAACAAGGAAAAACTCATTGTAGAGTAACTACGTCAAGACTCCATAATGAAGGAGCTCCTGAAATCCACAGAACACGGATGGTGTGAGAGTAAGAGTGGCAGATTTACCCTCTCAGCTGTGGCTGTAGATTTTTATGAAACCTGAGACAAAGAAAAACCAGGCAGGCGGGTCTCTTTTGATTTGCCTCTTTCCTCCTCGCGTTTTTCATTTTGTTCATCATCCCCTCTGCGTGACACAGTAATGACAGCTTCCTGTTCGCTTGCCACAAAATTACTTCAGTGATGATCCATTTTATTACTTTGATTTGGAAGTAAAACACAGAGCCGTGGTAAAGTTGGAAAAGGGAAAGAAAGAAAGACAGAGGGCTAGAAGAGGAAAATTTGGCCTAGAGCTATAGAAAGTTATAATAGATGTTCGCTGAGCAGCAGGAGAATAAAAAGCACGTAGACATTTATGTGAAATTAAGACTATGGCGGTTATTACCATATCATCTAAGAGTTTGAAACTGTTATGAGATTTGTACGTTTTTTTACTAAAATGACTTCTCTAAATGACATATTTGAATAGACAATTCCTCACAGTCTAAGCAGAAACATTGGGGGAGAGATTAAAAAATGTTGGCTAAATTTAACTTAGCATTTGAGAGAAATGCCTGGCTGTTCTTTTACAGAGAAACAAAAGGGCCCCTTCATTCAACAGACCAACAGTGGGTCAAAAAGCTTAACCCTCAATAGAACAAATATCTGTTCACAAGCCTGTGATCTGAAAACAGCAAAAAAATACTGACCCCGCAAAAGTACAACAACTAATGGGTACAAAGGTGACTTGGATAATGAAAGCATATTTCCACTTCCACTTGCTGGTCGGCTGGTACTTCGCTGTGTTGTCAACTGCTGTCATGTTTCTTTTATTTCCAGCGGACTGTCAATCAGGAGCAACCAGCTTGCACAGCCTGAGAGTCAGAGCAGAAATATACAAGAAACCATCTAAATGATTTAGAAAATTTGCTCATTTGCTGGTTGTAAATCTCTTTCATCCAGCTCTCCGTGAAAAATAAAATAAAACCTTAAAGTGAGCCAGACAGGGATCGAAATTGAGCTGAAATGTATTTGCTGATACTTGCTTCTTTTTCATTTCAGCGTTGAACTGCCTTTGTAGGGTCACTGAGTAATAAAGATGGTGCTTACAATCTGAACCTCCATGGCCCATCTGTCAGCGCCATCATATCAATGATGTGCAATTTTGCTCTTTTTCTATCAGCGAGTCATCTGAACAAGTTCACTTTTTTTATAACGTGGGATTGTAACGACTCAGAGGAGTCTGAATGATTGATTTGAGTTAGGCATTTAGAAGGACTTGGATATATTCCTGGTCGTAATGCACGGTTTGATTCAAAATGAGAAAGCTCTCAGTCTGAATAATCATCTCAGTTTTCTTGAATAGCACATTTCAAGTGTCAGCCAAAGTTTTTTACAGAACAAAAGAATTCAGGTTACATGAAAAATATTTGACCTGCCACATCTGACGTATTCCCAAATAGAATTTTAAACTCTGGAGTCTTTATGTAGCATGACACAATAGACTTTTTTGTCCCATTTTAGTGACACAAAATTTGCAAAAATGAGAAACAAATACGCTTTTTAATGAGACCAGCCTGGAAGGCTGGGAACAGAAAATTCTCTCTCTGTTCAACCATTTCATGACCTGCAGTCAGAGTAGGGGTGGGGGTAGGCGGCTAACTAAAGGTTACTTTTACGGTTGCCGTACGTCCCAGAGACGGCACTTTTAGTTTTTGAAGGACGGAGCTTCCTTTGTTTTACAGTAATGCGTTGCTTTGTCCTTGCAGTCTCTGAAGTACCTCCTGCTCCACAGTAATCTGGCCTAATGAAGCCTCTTTACTGTAAGGTTTTGCATTGTGCTTATAGTATATTAGCTGTCTCCTACTATTTGTTTAAAGTCGCTATTTGGAGTTCATGGAGAAATAAGCTGTTGGTTGTTTGTACATCCTGGAGGGGAACACAAGTTTACCTTTTGTAGATCAATAAAAGCTGTTGTATTCTAATGTATTCTGCTCACTATTATAATCCATCCTCTCCCATTAGCAAACAAATGGGCATGCTGACTGCAATGGCTGTTATGTAATTAATAGTCATGGTAGAGCAATTAAAATTGGGAGGCTTTTTGGATTTGCTGATTAAGATATTTAAAGCATGAAGTGCCTTCGGCCCTTATTTTTGTGCAAGTTTTTTGCATATCGTCTTGTTTGTACTTGTTTGCTCTTTGTTTCCTCTAGCAAATGTGTGTTTGTGTGAAAAATCACTGCTGCTTCTGTGTTTGTGTGCATTGCGAGGGTATGTACAAGGCGATGAGCGGTTTCAACACTTATCCTTGACTTTTCCTTTACCTGTTCGCAATTAATTACGTCCCGGAACAGAAGCCCTGGGATCAGTTGCGAAAGACGAGCAAACACATCAGCATAAATGCAAAGCCAGCCGACTCCGGGAGAATGGTGTTGAGCGGCACACCGAGAGCCTGCACCTCCATCCATTTGCAATGACAATCATTATCGCATGAAAGCAGCGGTCTCCAGCTCTATTCTAGAGGGAATGTGTGTGTTCGCAGTCCCACAGTAATCCATATTCACTTTCTTAATTGGTTCAATTAGTTCTCTCAGATACTGTATGAATTTTACACTCTGCTTGTCCCCAGATAAAGTCCAGTTAACGTATTACCGGGCAGAGGTTACAAATTGGGTTCCCAGTAGTGCAGCTTAATACACAGAGGATTTAAAGTCATTTATGTGGATGAGTGAGCTAAAAACTGTATTGCTGACACCGTAATGAGCGGACACAAGCATGTTGGCCGCAGCGTTCAGTCTTCTGTGAGACTCTCCCTCATGGGAGTTCACACAACATATACACACCACATCAAACACAGATATGTTCACAGTGGCAGGTACATATTCTTATAACGTTATCACGTTTATGTTGACCAAGCTGTCCTTTAATTTGCTTAACAACCCCTTCTTGCACACAACCGCAGTAAAGCTTTATCAAATCAATGTTGGCATCTGGATGGAGAGATTAGGTTAGTGACATGCTGGACCTCTCGTGGCTTAATGGCTCCTCTCATTTAATGGCAGAGTAAGTTACTGCACAGCCAGGAAATGGGGACCAGTTTGAAAAACGCATACACGCGGGCGGGCACACACACAAACACACACACATCGTCAAACAAATGAGGCAGTTGCATTACTGTCTGTCGAGCGAATGGAGAGCAAGTATTGATCTGGAGCATAGGCTCGTTCATCAGCGTGGTTAAGCAAAATACCATTAAGGTGAATGAGAAATTATGTAGAGGCACACACACACACACACAAACACACACGCCTTTTGTGTTTTGTTGGGACTCCAACTTGTGGAATTTGTTTCACTCTGATTTAAGTGCATTATTGCTTGTTTTGCTTTTACCTCTTGATCTCTCCTATTCCGTCATCTCTTGATTGTGCTCCTCATCCATTCTGTGCCCATCGATGTACAGCTCAAGTTTGGCCCCAGAGCGAGTGTACTGTATAGTGTTGTTGGCCGGTGGAGCTCTGGAAAACGTCCCGTCCTGGCTCTGGCTTTCTATTAGTGGGATCTGATGGGTGACGTGGGAATAGCAGGGCGATTTGAAAATACAGGGTCAAGATCTATGAAAATGCACCACGGGGAACATTTCCATATAATGAACACACTACATCTTCTTTAGAGGTCCTCTTGAGGAGTGCTGATGAGGACACACAGATAAAGACGAACGTAAGGAAAGGAGATCAAAGGAGATTTCAAGAATGAGAGTGTGAGAATAATGGAAGAGGAAAAGAGAGATGTGAGAGGGTGTGGAGGAGATTGGTGGAGGTGGCAATAATGAGAAAGGAAATTTAATGGGAGAGACAAAGAATGGAAAGAGGTAATGTTAATGCAGAGCAGCCAGCGGTACAGCGGTTGTGAATCCCTCTGCGGTGGTGAGGGCTCACTCTGTCATGTCAGCCTCCTGCTGACACTCTGAAAGAAAGACTTTGGCGTGAATGCGGTTATGTTTTTTTGCATGCTTGCGTATGCAGGTCTGCAGCCCGTCGCTGAAAAGCTTATAACAAACTGTCATGATTTGAATGGAGAAAAGATGCCTGGATGAGCCCCATAATGTGAGCCATTTAGGACGCCATTCAAAGCAAGCTGTCATGTCTGTCAATCAGTGAAACTTTCAAGTCTCCCCGGGACGAGCCCGCGCTTTTGTCCTGAGGTCTTGAACAATAGGTTGACATCCTGGTGACAGACGTGCTCGCACGCCCATCTCCCAACCACGCATCTGTTAAACCTTCATAATTCTCTGTTGTTTTATGAGGAACAACTGAAACAAACGATCATGTCCTCTGCTGTTGCATCCGGTTCCACATGGCACGCAAGTGTGAAATTGCTGAGTAGATTATGTGTGAGCGCCGTGATGCCAGCAGCTCAGCTTTCTTCACAGGTCAATACAGCGCAAACAAAACTGATAGTGTGCGCAACCAGTGACTTTTTTTTTCCTTTTCTGTGCAGAAATGATGACACATGGGACTTATCATTGGAAAACAATGTATTCATTGATACAAATTCTCTTTAAGACACTATACAGTACACCTCATTAGTACATTTTCATCTGATTTGTTTTTTTTTTTTTTTTTTTTTACAGGTAAAGAAACATTTCTTTAAGATTTCCATACTATGTACATTAAACAAATGTAATTCTCATCACTGGGGATCCCTGATGATGACAACACAGTCTATAAAACAATCAAACTAACCGCATTATAAATGGTGACAGCACTGACACATAATTGAAGTTTAGCCTTGGCTTGACCTGTTTACAATTCTCAGCTAAGCGATCAAGCAGCCAATACAACACCTGAGTGCCCCCTGTCAATACACCTGGACTGACCTATTGGCTGAGCTGGAGAGGGGAGCCGATCCATTGCATTGACCGCCTCCTCCCTTCTCCCCTGCGCTCTCATTAGATCTACTCTATTAAATTCCTTATGCATCTGTCTGTAGACTGCAGGTTGGGGGCTTGGAAACAATCATAGAGCCCTGCTGGTGGCTGGTGTGCTTCACTCAGGCTGAAGAACTGAGAAAATGTGCTGACATGCACCATCTTTAGAGGCTATTGAAGAGATTAGAAAATTTTCTTTTATTGCTCTTTTTTTCGTGCTAGGCACAAATGGTTTGTTCTTGAGAATTTGTGCTGTATTTATTGACGGATGGGATTAGTGAAGAAAACAACAGCATATGAATAGGTATAAATAGGTTTGCGATGGGATTAAAGAAATAACTCAACCATTTGGACTCTCAGGCACATTTGGATTAAATGATCAATACCATCCTCAGCACAGTGAGCAGAGGCTGTCGCAAGCGGCCGGTTAACTCGCACTCATACACAGAGAGAAAGTAAGTGGAGCAGCTAGTTAGCTTATGAACAGTTATTAAAAATGATTCATTAAACAAGCTCATACAATGTATTTTAATCCATTCAAAAACAATGCCTCAGTGATTTACCTGAGATAGACCCCGCAGCTGCTCTCTGCTAGAACAGCCCCAATATAATGCCCCTAAATATAACATGTTGTGTGGTTTGCACACTAGACTGATAGAACGAAGCTGTAACTGCATATCTGGAGTGGATTTAGCTACCAGTGGACACAAATTTGTTCAAAGTGTTTCTTAGATGGGTACAAATCTGCTCATATAGCCATATCTCTTAAAGCAAAAAGGTTTGTCCCACAAAATGTCATATTTTGACTTCTATAACCACACTGCTGTTTGCGTATGTGTGTTCCTATTTGAGAAATAGAATCACATGAGTTGGACGGATTGTTGACACTGTGTTTGGGTTTTGTGTTTGCTTTGCACAAAGCGTGTGTGACCTCACTCAGGGGTTGAGTGGAGGCGAAGGGGAGTGCGTGGCAAAGAGGAGTCTGGCGTGTCAGATGTGCTCGCCGTAGTCACGCCCATCTTCTTCAGGGAGCGCTCATCCGTCACAGAGATTGAGCGAGAGAACGCAGGTCGGGGGGCACCCGCTGGACCTGAGGTGGACAAACAAATATATCCTTTATGCCCGGCAAACAGATGTCTTTCATGCCGTGCCTGTAAAGCAAACTGAAAGTGTGCAACTGAGCACACTGTTCAAACCAGAGAAAAAGAGAAACAAAAGGAAAAAAACAAACCCTGTTTGAGTTTCAAATGTATTAAGTACACTTAAGATCTGTGTCAAACACTTCGACTCCCATTAGTTTAATCCCCCGTTGGTATTCAGCTCACGCACCAAACTTCTTATTAGATCCTCTCGAGTAAATGACTTCTCTCCACTTTTATCACAGCAGATGAACAAAATGAAAACCGCGGTGCTTGTGGGTCTGAGCGGTGCAGAGCGGTGCGCTGTAGCGTCTCTCGGCCTGTAGGGGGTCACGGCAGCGGAGCGAGCTGCAGCAGGTTGAGCAATGACTGCAGATTTGTTGCAGCTTGATGTCTCTCATCATTACACACAGAAGGAGAGAAAGAGAGCGCGCAGGCACAAGACGGTACAGCCCCGTTCTGGGAATTTTTACCTTTGATATCGTTCACATCCTGCTGAGGTTTGCCACAAGGACCGGCAGGGGGCAGGGTGACCACACACACGCACACACACACACACACACACACACACACACACACACACACACACACACATGCACACACTTCATCTGTTTTTCTGTCGTCCTTTTTTCTGGGCATGCACGCTCAGTCTCTCCCTCCTCGCTGCTCCTTGTGTTGTGAAATGCCTCCCGACTGCTCTTCCCTCTCCATTTTTCTCCCACAGATGTACTCCAGCCATCTGGGTACTTGTAGGGCACAGTGAAGACACCACTGGAGCAACCTGCTCTCCTCAGGCATGTCAGCGTTACACAGCTATCAGTTCACGCTATTTTGTACTGCGCCGACAGCACCCATTAAAACAGCACAGACAACAAAATAGCTGTTCATAGGATTCTAAATTCCTCCTGGTTGAAAAACGTGTGCGCTGAATTTGAATCGTGCACTGTTGCCTCCCTGCCTTCATCTCTTTTTCAGTGCGGTGAACTGAAATGTAAGGATAATTACCACGAAGCAAAAATATACATTTCACTCATACAGCTCTTTTCATCTTCCCTTGGTTTTTACATCTTTCTCTCCCTGCCTCCACCGCTCTCACATGCAGCTGGGCTGTCCCTCCCTCCCCTCATATTCTCTGTGGTATTTCAGTCCCATGCAGGCCACAAGCTGCAACCTCACCTGGGTTGTTCTGGCTGGATTTGACTTTGCTGTTGGTCTTCTCTTGCATTATCTGCTCGTACTCCCTCACCTCATCCAAACTCAGCCCTGTGGGGAAAACACAGGCACGTACGCACGCACAAAGCATTGGAAAAGGTTGAAAATATGGACCTGATTTCACAGAACTGTAAAGTTGTAGTCCTGGAATTTTGTATTTGTCTTTCAGCGCCGTCTGTGTTTGTAACCCACCATGCCACTCATCAGTCCATGCCACTGCCTGCCTGTGGCCAACAAGGAGAATGTCTCTGATGTTCTGAAATGAGACAGGAAACAAGAACATGCTATCGAGAAAATGTAATTAAAATGACACAGCTGTTGTGTGTGGCCATGTGTGAAATGCTACATTTAGCATTATTATGTAGTGCATCAGTGTCAAAATCGTGGCAGTCATTTGTTTAATTAACTAAGATCGTGGAACGTGTGGGAACGTCTCTCAGCGGCATGACTTGTGGGAGGCTTTGTCAGAATGAGGGCCACTACCCAAACACCCATGAACACGCATAAACAAAAACTTTGGGCTTTTGTTCATGCTCCGTTGGCTCGACTCATTGTGGAGCATGACTGTGTTGAAAGAGTGCAGCTTGTTCCGTCGACCTCCATTGTGACAAAACTATGCTTTGTTAGAACGGGAACAACAGATGCCCTCTCACTGTTTCGTGGTACAAAGCAACACGGCAATTTCACAAATAAATCAGAGCTAATGTATTACATGAAACGCTGTGCAGAGGTCATTTGAGACTGACGGCCCTCATGGCGACACTTTCGGTGGTTATGCTAATATCAGGAAATTATTGGGGCGGTAATTTATTTGTGTCAATATTTCACGCATGGCAGATTCAAGTAAAAAACCCAAAAAGATTGTTATTTTCCCTCATCTCTTTTGCATACGCAAACAGGAAAAACACAAGGGGAAAGAGAAGCCTGTCTCACGCGGTGTATGAACTCCTCAGTCCTGGTCTGGAAGCCGTACACCTCAAAGCTGCACTTCACCCTCTTGTAGGAGCACATAATGGGCTTGTGCTGGTCTATCCAGCCTTTCTCCAGAGGCCCACGGTCAGTTTTAGTTGACTGCCAGTGACTCAGGTCCTGTACAGAGAAAACATGGGGAAGGGGGAGGAGGGGTTATAGAAAGATTTTGGCCCTGTCAGGTGTTTTTAGAGGAAACTTTAGATGCCTCTGAGTGTGCTGCTTGCATGTGTGTATGTGAGAATGAGTGTCATATCTGTGTGGAGGTGTAAGTAGAATGTTGCTCTACACGGCCCTTAAGAGGAAAGTGTGAAAACACACATTGGGCCTCTGAGATCAAAGGAGGTTTGTGTTCGTGACTTCATGTTCTCACCAGGCCGCTTAATGGATACGACCAGCACATTTGAGACCTTTTTTATTTTCATGTGCATGTATGCTAACACTTCTTCCTCTGCTTGTTCATTTGCTTCTGTTCAGCACAGGCTGTAAAATAACCTTTGCTGTTAAAGACTTGCAGGCAGTAAAGAAGTGTGAAGCTTTTGCTGAAGACGGGCAGAAAAGCGTAGGCATATTGAAATGCTCTTTTCAGGTGGAAAACAAAAGTCTGGTAAACAAAATGAAGGTTTAAAAGCAATGTGGATTTACAAGAAATGATCTCCTAAAAGAATGGTTTGCCTTGTTTAGTACATGTGAATTTAATATGGACAACTGGGGAAACTTAGCATAAAGACAGGACGTGGGAGATACAGATTATGGGCTTTAAATGCAAAGTACAAGCTGTAAGAGTGGCTGTGCCAGATTTTGACAAAAAAAAAAACATCTTCCAATATTAATTCTGCATGTGGCTGAATTAATGAAAAACTGTTTGATTTTTAGCAGTGAGGATTGCAGATGCACTTATATGAATTTCTGACCTGTGGCCAGGTGTTATTAAACACCATTATTACGCAAAAGTGATCATAAGAAACACATAACTGAACAAAACTTTTTCTAAGCTTGAATGAATAAACTTTATGCTGCCCCAAAATAATCTAATTCTGTGAGTTCCCCAGTTTAGCAAAGTAATTTATATGCCAGAGTCCAAACTCCAGTAGAATTATTCAGCCTCCCCATCTCCACATCCACCCACATTTCATCATGCCGCTGCACTCATTCTGGCCGGTTAGTGGGGAACTTTCTCGGGGGGTTATTGGGTGTCGTAGCTGCTCATGCCTACATCTGTCAGGTTGCACAGATGCGTACTAGTGATCTACATAAAAGGCGCAACCCATAGAATAGAGAGGTATAGTATAATTTAACAGCTTTTCAATCACACCCCATGAAATGATGCTTGAGGTTAAGAAAAGTAAGTCCAAAATTAAAAAACATCATCATGAGTGTACACATGTACCTCCCAGCCTAGTTTCCCCATGAACGTTTATGTGTTCTTTCAGTGTAACAAACTACTACTCTGCCCTTTTGCCCTCCCTATAGTACAGGGATGTAACACTGCTGTCATAAAGACAATCAAAAGCCCACTACAGGTTTTGCTACAGGGAGTTTTGTGGGGCTGGGAATAGAAGTATGGCAGTTTCTGGGCACTCCAGGGCAACTTTGGGCCAGAGAGTTTGCATAATGAAGGTCAGCCTACTTCAAAACAAGTCAAAACCATGTAGTCATTAGGCCTATCAACCTACATTGTTTTTGATACGTCTAAATTTTCTTCCCTCTTTAATTCTTTCTTTAATAATTTTTTTCCTGTTTGTTTATTAATTTCTGTTGTAAAACATGCAGTACACACCTCTGATTCTTTGTAATGCTTTTCGGGGATGGGGTCACTCAGGATATCCAGAAAACTCACATTTTCTCCTGGAGTTGGCGTGTCCTCGAACACCTACATCCAAGCAGATGGGGAGGTCACACAGTTTAATGACGCACATGCACATTCGCTTATACCCTTACATGCTGTTACACGCAAACATTGCTCACAGCGGAGGGACGGACAAGAGCAGATAAGTAACAGTGCAGAAAACTGTGGTCGCACATCATAACACCCCACACTATATCCCACTCCCATGAAGGAAATCACACTGGAGCAAACAGACAAGAGAACAGATAGGTAGTAAGCAGGTTCAGGGGATTAAGAGGAAAAGCAAGAGCAGATATCAGGGATATTAAAATAAAAAGAAAAACTGATGCTATGACCGAAGACTGGACTCTTCTTTGGGAAAGAGTGAACCTGGAGACTTTTACCTGACCTTGTATTGAATTTGTTCTAATGCCCCGCTGAAGTTGTTCATTTCACAGTTCAAAACTAACAAATAAGAAAAACCTTGGGTGAGATAAAAGCGTGCTAAGCCCCTGTGGAGCTGTTGTTGGTTTGTGTCTACCCCAGGTCCTGCTCCCTTTTATGGAATGTGTTGCATTGTTTGAGGGTACTGTGCTGCCTTTTACAGCGTGCTCAGAGCATGACACTCTCACGATCTCTTCAGCACTGTCTCTCTATGTTTTCTCAGTAAAAATGGCGGAGTCGAGTCAGAATGCTTTGAAAATGGGACTGAACTATTGAAGCGAAAATAAACCCAATGCACAAGCGACCATTGACAGAGTGGTGGCAGGTTTTATTGGTCTGATGTGTGAGCGAGAAGCTCCACGAGCGCTCCAGTGCGGAGAAAGTTGCTGTTCTGCAGCAAACTAAACAACAATGACGATGCCATATCAGTGAGAACACAGGCGACACTGAGGAGGGAGTGCAGGAAAACCTCAGCCCCGCTGCTTGTGATCAGGATTTGCTGGTGTACAAAACGGGTCAATGAGTCAACACTGGAAAATGACAACATGAACACGAACAATGAAATAAAAAGCTGCAGATACTGGAACAATATCACATTTTTCTGCAAGCTTAACCCAACATTCCTGAGGTTTAATCCGGTATTGAGCAGTAACCTTTTTCCTCATATAAAAGCCGGGATTCAGTTAAAAGTTCAGCTTTTTCTAATGGGCGGGGGTTGGGTTGACACAAACAAAGGCTTACCTGATACAGGTAAAGAGTTCAGGGAAAATAAAATGCTGCTATAAACAATTATTTGCATTGGTCAAAGTGGCCCTTTGACTCCTTGTGTTTAAGCCACTTCAGATTCAGCCATTGCATGCTCCTGAATCATATCAGGAGTGACTCTGACTCATTGAAATAAATGTGACAGGGCGCGGAAAGTGTTAAGTGTTTGTTTCTCCAACTTCCTGGCTCACAAAGCAAACTTTATCCACAATCCAACGCAAAATTGGAAACATTTCCAACACATTTGAGGCTAATTCTATTTGGGAAAATATCCAGTGGTAGAGTCTGACTCACTCATTGGAGATTATGGCGATATCCCGAAGGATTGAAATGATTTAACTCCCGTGTGAACAGGCAACTTTTCGGACACAAGGCGCAATTGTTTACAGTGTGTTCCCAACTTGTCTGTTATACACTGTTATAAATTGTACTTATTTCAATAAGAATAAAGTAAAGTCCTGCCTCTTTACAGGCCTGGTACCTCATGCCGTTGAGGTGACAAATGGTTGTTACCTCTGTCTGAGGCTTTAAATACTCCAGCTCCCTGAACAGGGTTCCTCATCTGGAAATTCAGCTCCAACCAGAAAACCAAATATCTGCACATAGGAAGTGTAGCCAGAAACTAAAATAGTTTAGGTGACTTTCATCTATCAGGCAGCCAGAAAACTGACTATAACGGAACAGCAGTGCCCTCAATAAATCCTGGATGTGTATATAAATCCGTGCACTGCTGACAGATGTGCACAAGCACAGCAATATTCAGACTTCTGACCTTAATGGAAATAAGACAGTGTTCCAATTATGGTTGGATTAATTGCGGGGAGAATATTCTATTCATATCATTGTTTACATCTTACAGAACACAGTCTGACTAATGATCCACGCTTACATTACGTTCCTCTAAACATTTATAATGTCTGCCACCATCTATGAAAACATGCGGCAGTAAACATGGGTTTTGATCCCTGCATCTTCTTTGTACTGCAGCCTTCCTGCTCCGCACTGATCAGCCGGAGCTGCCTTTGCCGGATCTTGGGACAAATAAAAAATCCGATCGACAAAAGCAAGCTGAAAACAGCCTGTGCTATTCTTAAGAAACGTGTCCAAATAGCTTATCACAAATTGATACGGCATCGATTCGGTGTGTGTTCTGATCAGTGTGTGGATCACAAGATGCAGTGAAAACTCCAGCGAGATGTAACTGCACAAGTCAGGTTTTTGCATTTTCTAACCTGTGTCAGAATGTATGTGTACACACAGCTTGATTAGATCATTGCTCCTGCTGGACATGACCGGTGTTGTTTACATCTCTTATTCAGAGGGGGGTCTTAATTGGGTGAATTGTCGTAGAAGCTGTGGCGTTCAAAATAGTGCGGACTAAAATGATTCATCATGTAATCTCCTGTCATGGAACAAGATTCATTGTGTTTCTCTCAGCGAGCAGAGCTTCTCCAGTTCTGACATGTTAGGTCTTGTTTCTGGACCTCTCTTTGAACACAGTGCAGACACAGGGGCCGGACAGAGTTGCCCTCGTCTGAGAGTTTCTGTCTGAGTGTGTTTACGTGTATTGGCTTTGGACAAAATGCTGCATGGCAGCCATGATAAGCACGCTGCACGTCTGCTTAATAGATCTGCCAATAGTGCATTTTGTGCTTTGCTTGTTTTCCTTGTAATGGGCACATCAACTTGATGAACGCTTTCATGGTGCTGTGGAGAAAATTGCAATTCCTCTCTTTCTCATGTCTTCTTCCCCCCCCCCCTCTTCCTCTAAACACTCCATCTCTCCCAGCCCAAGCTTCCCCTCAGTCAGGCCCATACTCACATTGTCGTTGTGGCCGTTGTTGTTCTCAAATCTCGTTTCAATACGGATGCTGAACTTGGGGAGGAAAGATGCCTACAGGGTGACATGGGATGAAACCAGGGAAAATAGGCCAAAGTAGAGAGAGAGAGCAAAGACAGGCTGCAGATTAGATCCACTGACACTGGAAAAAAGATGACGACTGTTGCCTCATGTACAGTAAATCATGTGTGAGAATACTTACTGAGTACTCTGCAGCACCAGGGACATTCAATATGGATAGAGGGAAACATCATTAGTTGCTCATATGTGTGAACGTGAAATCGCAAACACAAACACATTCACTTCACCACCAGTGTGAGAAATTTTAGCACAGTGATAAATATTTGATGCCACTTGAAATCTAGCCGTTGCAAGTCAATGGGCTTTAAATTCACACTGATGCGTAAGCGAGGGATCAAAAACACACACACACACTTACCTGTGATAGTGTATGGATAGAAGTTCCAGGCCTTTTCTGTCACATAGAAGAATCGAGGGACAAAAGCTCTTGCCCAAGATGGCAGTTTACTGAAAACCAAAGAGGGGAAAAAAGGAGAATCAGAGTCGTAGAGAGAAAGTGTGGAGCAGCAGAGATTACGGACAGAGACAAAGAGATCCAAAGTGTGTGTGTGTGTGCGCCTTCTGCCTTTTGTAGCAGGGATACCTGTAGGCTACTCTCAGCACAGTGTTCATTTGTATGACTCACTCTCAATTACACCCGTGGTGAGGAATTGTAACTGTAGCTTTTAGGTCAGAATATGAGTGAAGTTGAATACACTTTGCTGTCAATTTAGCCGTGTGAATGCGTCCCTCTTCATAGTTTTATTAATAAAGGCCAAATGCCTCACACGCTCACAAGGATTAGAAGAATCCTCCTCAGTGAGAGCATGTCTTTACCTCTTTAACAGTTTTTTTAAGGATTAGACCTTGGGTTTATAGTGGTGATTGGACTAAGACCTGTGGCTGCTAACAGTAATGACTGTGATTATTGGCGGGTTAGAGAATGAAAGAGGAGAATGCTAGTTGTTTTTAAAAACCGGTCCTATAACATATTCGCGACTGAGTTGTGAGCACAGACGATGGTAAATGAGACAAAGCCTTTTGGCACAGTGGCATGATCATTTCACTCACCCATTCGATAAAGTGTAACTCACATGTCTTTTGGGTTTGGCTGAAAAACCCCAAGTTTGGTGTGATAAGCAGTGTATAAAACTTAGATTAATTTTGAACATACTACAATATGATGTAATTGCAAGCAAAACAAAAGATAAAGCACACAAGTTGATAAATCATAAGAAAAGATGTACAAGCCACTATCTTGCTTACACCTGGTCTGTTCTCTCTCTATTCATGGATGTCTTTTGAAAGCTGAGTAATATGGATGTCATCAGAGGCTGCCTCTGCTGGTTGTGTGAAGGTTAACGTCAGATTGCATCAGTGTGAGGGATGTTCTGATTTGATTGGCTGTTAAACTACTGCTGAAGTCAGGACAAATTACCAACACAAGACACATGGAACCACGGCAGTGACAAATGCCAGCTTGATCAATGCCTTTGACTTTGACAATGCCGTTGACTGTAAATCTTTAAACTGTTCGACTGCGATGGGGAAACTCATCAGACAAATTCTCACACCGAGCTCGCTTTGTTTCCATAAAGCTCAACCACAGCCATGTGTAACCCCAACTGCAAGTATTTCATGGTGTGACTGAAATAAACAGCTCAGATACACATGAAGCAACAAGCCTGTTGTTTTTCTTGTAGAGCTGTTGTCAGTTGTAAAACAGGTATAGTTACAAACTCAAAAAAGACCAATCACAGCAGTGTCGTGCATTGAGAAAAGCCACTATGTCATCACCCACTGTTATTATAACTGCTGCTTTAAAGCCCTCATTCTGACATTTGGCTGCCGTCATCTTTGTTATTTGGACCCAAAAGCGATCTTATTCAGACACTCAGTGGAGCTTGAGAGAGATGCTTGGCATATATTCCTAGGCTTATCTATTTTTGTTATTTTCTGTGTTGTTAATTAGCACTTTCCATAAGAGATGTTGAAGTTCCTGATATGACGTGAGCTTGTTGGCGTCAGTAGTGTGAGGCAGTTAGATGTAGGTTTCACTTCTAACAGGAAGTGACATTTACAGTAAATGGAGTCTACGGTAGCTAACTACTGTATATCTGAATAGCTAATCTTAAAAATACATAAAAAACATACATGGGTGAAAAACTTATTCTCCAAGATGTCTCTGAGTTGAACAGAAATGATTGAATTAATACAACTTCACTTCTCACGTGTCCACAAGAGTGTGTTTGTTAATCCACAAGAGAGAATACTCTGACTTCAGATAAAAAACGGAAACTGCCACAAACCATCATTTTTAAAGCTCATGAATAACTGACTTTCTACATCGTTTAACCGTTTCAGTGTCTTTGTGAATTATGTCATGGACGTAGTTTTGCTTTCTTTTTGGCAGCTGCTCGTAAATCACTGTAAGAACAAGATGCTGTCACTAGATGTTTGTTTTTGTTAATCTTTTTTTATGGACAGAGAAAATTGCAAACTACAATCTGAAGATTACAAATCTTGATCGAAACTCTCGACCTTGTCTTATGCTTTCAGTGGCATTACATTTTCAATATGGTTTTACCTTCATGATAACTGGAGAGTTAAAGTATAAAATCCTGATTATTTGAATGCTTCAAGTTAATGTTAATAACTGTTTTTGATGATTTCACTGTTTTGTACACAGGGTTTAGACAGCCTTTGACTGCTGATAGAATACATTTTCAGCACTGCAAAGGAAAATAATGAGAGGCCAAAACCTCCCACACATCCTGCAATTACCACCGCCAGGATGACGTGGACGTATTTTTCTCAGCTGGAGGCCTGCACTTACACAATTAGAACACTTAAAGGTTTACTGGATAATGAGCTCATAGAACAATAAGATCTTCCACTAAAACCTCACAGTGACGGCCCGAGCATGCTTCAGACAAAGGGATCTTGGACTTTGGATGTGGGCAGGTTATACTCCACTGTGGGTGTCGCCGTGCTGAAATCCTGTTTTATTGCTCGTCAGTGGATTGGATTTGGACGACATAAACTTTTACCTTTAGGAAAGAGGCTAAAGATCAAATGGCATTAGTTATCGTGACCGCAGAATCGACAGCCTACAGATAAGATCTGGGTTGTAAATGCTCCGGGTTATTGGTGCGGCAGAACGCTGAGCCCATACCTGCTGAGGTAGATGCGCTTCTCGGTCAGCTGTCCCTGGCCGTGCTGCGGGTGGGTATCTGGCTCATTCCGCACCACCTCCACGCCTTCTCCCCCACCACTCTGCTCACAGCTGTGCTTACTGATCATGTAGAGCTGCCCAATCCTGTACTGGAGCCCGGGGAGAGGTTGAGGATGATGTTTGTGGTGGTGAAGGCAGGAGTGATGTGAGGAGATGGGGAGACAAAGAGAGAGAGAGAGAGAGAGACACTAAGAAAATATAAAGCAGAAAGCAAAAAAATCTCTCTTACCAGTCATATATCACCAGTCATATACTCTGAGTGTTTTCCTTTCTATGTTTGTGTTGGTCAGACACATGATTTTTCACACTGGAGGCCCTTCCCGATGTGACCCTCTCATTTGTCTGGGCTAGGGACTGGCACAAACTGGACACAGAGTGCCACGTCCCATTTGAGGCTGCAGTTTATCTCTGGTATATTAAAGTGAACTTCTTGGAATAACTAACACATTTTTCTTAATGATAAAACCAACCACTTAACAGGAAAGTTATTTTCAACAAGTCAGTGCGATACAAGAAATAAGCCAGTAGAGACTCGTTGGCTTTATTTTGCTTTCGGTAGAGTTTTGCAGATGCAGGTTTGGGGTGATTTCAACCAACCACAACAACTGTACGCTGATTTTTTTTATGGCTTTCGTTATTGCAGTTTTTCTGTGAAGCAGATAAGCATCTGAATGAGCTCCACATCAAGGTGAACTGAATGTCTCGTCATCTCATTACAATGCATTGTTGTGCTTGGAAACCTGGCATTCCCGAAGATGTTTGTCACTCACCACCCTTTCAAACATTGCTGCTGAGCAAGCACACCCTATGTGACAGCTTCTCATTGCCCTGTCACAGCACAACTCTACAAACCTCTGAGAACCTAGTCTGTTCCACCTTTGGGGCAAAAAATACTTTATGGAAACTCTTGTTGGACTCTAAAAGTGCCAGACAAAAGTGGACATGCCTTGAGCTCCAAGCTTGATGGTTTAAAATTGATCTGGTGATGTTCATTGAATAAATACGTTCTGATATGTCATAGCTGATGTAGTGTTACTTAAATTTACTTCTTTAAATCGGGTTTTAATGTACTACAGCGCTATTGCCAAAAGCTCATTATGTTAGATATTCAATATATAGTTGCTATGATATTGTCACTCCTGTTTAGCTTTAACCATTTGATGTTATCTAGTGTGTAAACAGCTGCCCTGGCTACTCCAGAGCTGGCTACTCTGCTGGTCAGGACAGGAGTCTTTCTTAATTATAAAGGGAAATCAGATAATGTGACAGGGGGTTTAGCCGCAGCTGCAGAGCTTTTTTTGTGTGTCATTTTACACATTTGGTCAACGCTACTTGGCCACAAGCATTTGCTCTTTCTTTTGAAATAGTCACATGCTGAGTTAAATGATTTCCCTGACGTGACAATTTAAGAATTTGAAAAGTATCATTTGCTCAGAGTGGGTGAATGCATGGTGTCTTGATGATGGGGAAGGGATTTCAGCCCCAGTTTGCATCTGACGCTGTTGGGGAGGGAGAATTTTCTTTTAGTGGGTCTAAAGAAGACAAGGCCTTTGGGCATCTGCAGCTCAGTCTGACAGCATCAGTGTTGCATTCCGAGCAAGTGTCAGCCTTCACACAAAAAACCCCTGCCTTTGCTTTCGTTTTTCCCGTCCAGTCTGTTTTGTTTTTGATTTAACTGTAAATCATTTGTTGTGAAAAAAAAATAAAAACAATAAAAATAAAACAATGCAACTGTCATAATTAGATCATTTTTTCTGCCCTATATTCATGTCATTAAAGTATAATTACTGTTAGAGAAAGGAAGAGAGAGGCAGACAGCTGCCGTTCATCCCTCACAGTTTACATCATGTGACACTCCTTCTAGTTACAATTACTGTGGAATGTCAACGTTCACTTTTTGCTTATTGGGAGTCGTGAGACTCACTGAATCACAGTTATGTGTGCAAACACCGGAGCAGTGAGCTCCTCAAACACAAGTTGTGACTTTTCTTTTGTGTTCTTAAACAGATCTTAGCTGGTGCTTCAGAATAACTTTCAGACCGTAAATCATCATCTTGCACGCTGCCATGAGCCATAAATTGAAACCCTTCGGCATGTAATCCCCTCTACAATTTTTGAAGACCAGTCTACAACAATATGTTTGTCATAAATTATGGTGATGTGTAAATATACCACATTGTATCATGGGGACTCTCTTGATGGAGTAGGTGTGAATGCAAACTGTGATTTCTTTATTAAAGTGATTTATGGTTAAAACCTAGATTAAATTTCTTTAGTCGATAATGTACATTTTTGTCCATTTCACAACATGACCAAATTGAATGGAGCATTTGAAAATAATTTATTGTAGAGTGATGATGCACAAAACCAAAAAATAGTCATTACATCCATATTTTCATGGTGCTTGAATTAAAGTAATTTCAATATGACTATATGACACTAAGAGATGGTCACTCAGAGTTTGAACTGCCTCTTTTGTTGGCTGATTTACATCAGTCTCATAACTTTGATCCTTTCACTACACTTACTTCTGTCAGCGGCGTTTAATCTAGGATAATGCTTTTACTTTATTGTGGTAAAAACCCACAGTCAACTAATAATAAAACTGATTACAACTACTAAGCAATGGAATAGTGATTCTACAACCATCAAAGTGATAACCCTGATAAAAAAGGGTTTTTTGAAATGTGTACACAGGGTGAGTCACCACAAATCTACATTCAACAAATGGGTTGAATACATTTTTCAGACGGCAAACATTTGTGTTGTATACGGCTTTGTGGACAAGTTAAGCACAGCTGCATATGCCCACATTGATCTGCCTTTGTCCTCCTTAAATGTATGCCAGTATGTGTGGAACAGAGCCTTGACATACAGTATGTGGCTAAACCGGGAGAATGTGGAGATTGAACCATCAACTCTGTCTGATGCAGTGGATCACCTGAGAGGGCCGGCGATAGACTGCAGAACACAGTAATTAACATTCCACCAAACAGTAGTGCTGCATTGTGTTACAGATCTGTTACGGGATAAGTTTCACACTTGAGAACAAACACAACTCACCCCCATAGTGGAAAAAGGGCGGGGATGTTGTGAAAGGCTCTGAACCAGATAGCCATCTCGATTTGATACCTGTTCAAGTAAGCTGCGTCCACACGTACTGTACATTACATTCTGGCCAAAGAGGATTTGCTGCAAGCTCAAGTTTCTGTGCGCCCTGTACTGATACTGTAAATCCTATTCTGGACTGCTATTTGTCACTGTCATTGTTGTGGTAAAAGGTAGAGGTGAGGGGGGTTGGGTAGTGTGTACATGAGGGGCTGAGGACATTCCTTTTGAAGGACACTTCAGGGAACAACTCCACCTCGCTCTTTGCTGAATCTGTTTGCGAATAACACTGCAGGCCGCATGCCTTTGTTTGAGCTCAGGTCATAACAAGTTTGACTAGTTTGTGTTCTGAAAAATTTAGGGAGGCAGGGAGGCATGGAAACAGACGCTCTGGGAGACACTCAAATAATAGCAGTGCTACAGTGTCGGGCCACTGGCCAGGAGTTGTGCGTCGGTTGTGCCGTGGGAACCTGGCGACCCACCGTTCCTAAGCTCCCCACAGAGCACCTGCAGGAGGACTGCGTGCTGCGTGTTTCTGCTTTTCTTCTCAGCACATTAACTCTTTCAAGCATGTAAGCTGGAAATATGTCTTTGTATTTCACATAAACTGTGTCTTTTGTCCGTCGGTTTGAAGCTGCAGGCCTGCGGTGTGCATGTGCGTGTGCGTGTTGGTGTGTGTGTGTGTGTGTATGAGAGACAAAATCACTTACCTCTTCCACCGTCAGCGGCATACATATGCGGTACTCTTTCATCAACATGCTGCTGCAACAGAGGGAGCTGTCTTTTGGAAGTGAACGGAGAAACTGTGCTTGAGTCTTATCTCAGCCGTCTCGCTTGCATAGTAGACTCGCTCAGGCATGCACCGCGCTGACCACAACCACCTCCTTTCCGCCACTCTTCACACGAGTGTTTTGCTGATGTCTTTGGTCCGTAGAGTTGGGTCCAGCTTTTTTCTGACAATGGCTGTTTGCTGTTGTCTTACTTCTCTCCCTTCTCAGAGCCTTGTCCCTGCTCTGCCTTTTGTTTCTCTTCCTCTTTTAATCTCTAAGACAGCACTTTTTTAACTGCTCTCTTCCTATTTTTCTGCTGCTTCTTCTTTTGCAACTGCCCCTTCTGCCAGATTTTTTTTCTCTTTTGCTTTCTGTTTGTTTTCTGTAACTGCAGCGAGAGGCACTCAGCTTACGTGGAAATGTAGCCAACAGAAAACCTTTTCTACCTGCTCCTTCCCTTATGCTCCACTCTGAGCCCTGTTTAAGTCCTCCTCATGTGTAACCCTGCTGTCTGCTCAGTGCTCCTCCCATTCCTCTAAATCATCATCCACTGCTTTCAGTTCCTTACAAATTCCTTTGCCGGCTCCCTCCTGATCTCTTATTTCTCACCCTCCTACACTGACTCCCCGCCCACTGTACTTAGCTGTCTCTCCACCTGTATCACCCCTCCCATCTCCTCCCTCTCTGATCTTTATCTTTCCTTACTTTTCAGTCACACAAGACGGCCGTCAACAATAACTCTAGACGTTTTACCTCTTGTCTGTATCTGGCAACGTGAAAGTCATACAGATTCTTTACGGTGTTGTTAAGATTTGAAGCAGCGTGCCCAAACAGACTCAGCTCGCTCCACTCTGAGTGTATGAATAGCCGTCTCACAAGAGCAGTCAGAGTTTGCAACTGGATTAAATATTAGCAGAGCCAGGAGAGCTTCCGTGAAGCACGGCTCCACACTCCCTCACATTGTGTTAGCCCGTGACCTTAAGCTGGGTTTAATGAAATCCACGATCAGTCAATGAGTTGTGGAATTAAAGAATATTAATAACTTGCTTGTGTCTGTCCTTGGGTCACGTGCCACTCGGCCCCTGCCAATTTCAGATTTTTGCCTCTCGATCAAATAGGAGAAGCAGATGTTTGGATGGATTTTCTGGGTGAGCGCCATGGTAGCCAAACCCAATAACAGGCTCTGGGTTTTTCCCCCGTTGGTGAGTTTTGCCAGCTTTTCTCGGTGCGTCTGGAGACGGGGCCAAAGTACCTCTCCTTTCGTCTCTTTGCTGTTATCAGCTCTGCACTGAAAAAGCAGTGAAAACAAATTCCTGGTGGGGTTTGCTCCTGTCTTATCAGATCAGTGTTTGGAGAATGGAAGCCACTTCAGAGAGCTAAGGTGTGCTTTGCTCGTCTCTGCCTTGATTTACCCCAGACTCACGGTGTTCTGACAGTACCCGCAACAACACAATTTTAAGGGCACGCGCAGCAGAAAAGATCGAATGATGGATTACTTGAATTATGTAATTACAGTTTTACGATAATGGTAAGGAATGGTAGAGCTTTTGGAGCTCAACATAAGACTGAATTAAATTTGTCCTTCTACTGATTGCCATGGAAAATCAAAGAGATGCCTGATGTAGACAGAGTTTTATCTTTTTTTATCACTTTGAAAAAAGTTCAGGCACGTTGTAAGGCCTGTTTACATACCAACTATATCAGTAGATTTGTATGTCTGATTGTAAAAGATTATCTTTTGTTGAGACAATGATGAAGTCTGAGTATTCTGAAAAGTTATTTTGTTTAGCTGCTGGGCCTAAAAAGCAATCAGACCAAAACAGGGCTGTAAACTGCTTGGAAACATATTGGTCTGACTAGAATTGCAGTGATGGTTGATGCTATATTTTAAGTGAGATAACGATTATGGACATTCAACCAAGTAAAGGCTTTACAGAAGGTTTGCACAGGAAAATGCTGTCTGTAACTCTTTAGTTTGAAATCAAAGTGAGCACTACTGCTACAAAAGGACAACAGCACCAATATGAATAAGTGTTGATTTATTTGGTTTATCACATCACATCCTCCAATCGGCAGCAGAGACCTACAGTGGCTTGATGTGATTCAACACAAATGTGCACAAAAACTGAAATTTATGGCCACAGTTTCTGTAACACTTTGTCTCGAGCAAGAGCCATAAATACTTGACATTTCCTAAAATCAACGAAAGATCCTAATGTACGCCCCAACTCTGTGAGCCACAGAAGCAGTCTTGTCCTTGTCGTCATGTCCATCATCTGGGGCAGGACTTGTCATTCCAGCATCCAAATCAATGGAGAAACCTTTTTTAATGGCAGTGACTCATAATCTTAGCACATTCTGTAACTCCACCAAGTAATGCTTTACGACAGAGTTTAGCTAATTTTACACATTCCTGTGAAATCAGACTGACGGCTGGAGCACATCGAAAGAATTCTGGGATTCAGCTTGGTTCAGTGACATGGTCACCGTGTGGACTGTGTACATCTGGCTGATATCTGAGCATAATCCACTTCACCACCATGCTGTATATTTTGGTGTGGATTTAATTTAGTTCAGGATAAAATTACTTGAGACTTTGGCACAAAAAACAAAAAATAAATCAGTTTAAAGAAAGCAACACAGCTATTTCGTAACATTAATCCCAAAGAAGTGCAGCAGAACACCAGGTGATGAACCAATACAGAAATTCAGGAATAGCTTAACCCTATATTTCCATATGTATGTATAGCTTCTAAAATCTGTTAAATCTGAGAACTTTTGCATCACCTTATGGTAAAAACTTTGCTCAAAACATGTTCTCTATCTGATGTACCTGGTACCAGTGGGCAGAAGACTATACTTCCGACTAAAACATTTAGAATTTTCTCTCTATTTCTTTGTTGTATCAGGCTTTAATGTCTTAACTATATGAAACAAACAAGGCACAATGTGAGTTGTAATTGTACATTAATCCTCCCTTCGGGATCCTTAATGTTTGATGAATTCAAGCAACCTACAGACATTAATGTTAATTCATTTTTGGGCAAATTCCAGAACTGGGGATGCTATTGCCAGTGGAAATGTAAGAGTTTGTTGCTAGTTTTGGCTCCAGGCTTCCAGGGTTCTCCAGCTCTGCACTCTAGTCATTTATCGTCTGCAGTGTGTCATGTTCTTTCATTCTTTCATTGAACTGTTACACTTTTCTGAAACATCGATTGCTGCCGCCTGACAATAAATTTGACTAATGCAAATCCAGTAAAGAAAAAAAAACTGGGACATATTAAAGGATGTAAGCCGCAGAATTGAATGATCTGCAAAGAACACCACTTTGCATACAGAAGAACAAATACAATTTAAAACAAATAAAATCTTTAATGGAAAGGTAAAATGTCTGTCTTTTCAATTTTTGATAGGACCATATCTTCTTTTGTGTGGAAAATATTGTCTAATGACATCTGAATAATTTCTATGAGACTTTTAATATATAGGGTTTGCTCCCCATCCCAACTAATTTGGAATCAGGGTCAAATGGTGTGAATGAACAATCTGTTTGAGTTAATGAGTTGTGTCAAACCAAACCGAAGACATTTTCTAGTGCCCAAGTGAGATGTTTTGAAACGGTTCCTTTGGTCAGAGTTGCTCGTCTTTTCCTGTCCTGTGGAAGCAGGTGCTGATTTACCAGGAGTGTGACCTCATCATGAGGCTTATACCTATAACATCCCCTTCTCATCATTAAAAATGGATGGAACTTAAATGGCTGCTCGTTGGGGTGTTATTTGACCTCCACGTCACCTGCTCTTATTGTGTTTGAGCTTGGCCATATTTCAGCACAACAGCAGGGGTTTTAAGCAGAAAAAAGGAACAAGCAGATCATTAACTGGTGGACTCCTGGCCACTGGTGTATTACTGACTCTTCAGTCTCAAGGTGTGGTTTAAAGACCAGGCCAAAGGTTCTTTGGTGTCCCACTCCCAACCCAGAGAATAAAAGATGGCCCCTCCTGCCCATGCTTGGATAAACAGTGGTTTGGTGGAGGGTGCAGGGCTGAGGCACCGCAGCTTTAGAGCAAGATTAAGAAGAGGAACTCAGCAGTTTGTGAGGATGAAGTTTGACTGCTTTATGAGCCTCGTGTTGTACATTTAGGAGCTGTGGTAAGACCCAAAATCTCTTTGAGAGTTTGTCCACATCCTCAGACTCCCTCCTTTTTCTTCCCACTATCGCAACAAGCCTGCTGGACACCTCTGATCTCTGCTTTGGTCCGATCATCAAAAACCTGAAGTATTTAGGTCAGACTTTAGCCCGGCAAAAGATAGATAAAAGGAGCACAAATAACGGTGAGAGAGAGTACACACGCCATGGTCCTTTGTTTAGAGAGAGTCTCAAACTGCCACCAGATGCGCGGCAGGAAAAAAAAAGGATAGCTGCTTCACTAACATCTCTGTGTGTTGTCATATGTAATGTGTGTTTTACGTACTTTAAGTGGGGGGTCTTTTTATGTTTATGTGGCTGGCTTCCCTGTGGTAAGATGTAAGCTTAGTTTTAATCTCCTTGTAGTTGAGTATCAGGCTAGTGCTAAGACATTGATTGGACCAACTCCTTAATTGATACCACTGGAGGACCGCCTGCCAGGGGGATGTGGATTCTGTGTGTGTATGTGCTTTCTGCTGTGTTAGAAGCTCCAAGTGAATCCCCCTGTGACCTGGATGAAACAGAGCGTTCACTTATCTTTATCGAATCCCAATCTCGGAATACACGTGCATGCCAGTGAGAGGGATGAGGGCTTATCTAGCATCGTTAGGGGCTCCAGACAGCGTTCCAGCACACGCCAATCAACACAGCCCCCTATTTGATAACTTGGCACAAGAGATGCTACAACTGCCATCATTAATTCCTCCAAGCACACACGCAGACACACACACATGCATAGATACTGCACCCATAGGAACATATGTCATCACACACAGTTTTCTTGCTCCTGTAATCAACTCCTGAGATTCCAATTATAAAAAAGAATAATTTATTTCCAGCTTTTCTCCATATTCATGAGCTAAGCAGTATAGAAGGAATTCCACACATTACATCCATTGTTGAATTTATGTTCCCAGATGAATTATAGATGTTGTTTGAAATTGTTCAGTGTTCTTAAATGTCATCATTAATCTCAACAAGTAGCAACTTTTCCAGCTCATTTCCACAGAGGAGAGAATGTGCTTTTGCCTCTGAAGAGTTTGTGTGTGTGCATAGCAAAGGATAAAAGATCCAGATCTATTCTATGGTTTGCTTTACTCCTTTGTGTATTTGTAAGGCTGAGGGTGAGAGGAGGGAAGAAAGTTCTCATGAGCCCTGGAAGCAGCCAGAGGCTAGTGTGTATCTAAAGGCGTTCAGAGTTGGGATGATCAGAGAGTGTGAGCCAAACATTTTCATCAGGGCTCTCCACAGGGACAGAAGTTGAGCCATGCCACAGATGAATAAAAAAAAAATCTTTAGGCTGAAAAGAAATGAAATAATTTATCCAGGAATGGACTGGAGGAGCATTGGTGGCAAGTGTGTGGAAGAGGAAGGGCAGAGGAATGGATTAAGGCTGATTTTAGAGTGGGCCTGCACATTTGCAGTGGACTCTCCTCACATTTTTGGAATGCTTGTGAGACCCTGGCTGTATTCCGGGGTCCTTATAGGGAG